TGGAACTCCCTTCCGTTTACTCGCCTCCCTAATAATTAAAATCTTCAAACATCTAAATGCAACGTCAATCGCCATCTGCTGTTATCTTGAAATCCGTTCATCTTTTATTCTTTCACTATACTTTCACTCTTTTTATTCTATATCCAGTCTTTTCTCTCACTTTTACTCTCTGTAACCACCTGCGTCCTAGTAGCATCACCGCCTTGCTTGGGTCGAAATGTTTAAAACAGAATATGCACAAAAGCGGAGTATCATCTACCATGTATTCAATTGTGACAGCAGAATAACATATCATATTTTGATATGTTATGAATGTTATAAAATGTAAAGTATCCTATATCAATTTGTAAAATAATAAAATAATAATTTTATTATATATGGAAATTTTCATTAGAAATGAAAAAAGAATAATGATGAATTGTTATATGATATCATTCCTTCTATAACATATCATATTTTGATTACTTCAAAGCTCGCAAGATAATTAAATTTGTGTATTAAATGATACATAAGGATTTGATATGTCGTCAAATAACCAATCAACAATCAACTTTCTTTTGGATTACAATTTTTTAGACCACGAGATTACTTATTTATTATTATTATCTTTAGTAGTTAAGATCAAATTGGGGAAAAATTCAATAAATTTTACAAAGACATTAAAAATTTGAAGCAAAGTATTAAACTATAACAGCAAAAGTGAAAGAGCTTTAAAACCTGAGTATTGAATATGGTGTCAGAAAAATAACTTTTCTACATCTTTCTGCTTTTTATTAAAATAATAATCATGTATTTACCAACTCTATTCAATCAATGTATTAAACTTTTGTATTTCGATTTTCTGTTAAATGAGAAATCTTTGAATGAAACAGCAATGCAGGAGATTGTCTCTTTATCTTAGCCTCTGTTTAATGCGAGACCAAATCAAAATTAAATAAAAAACTGCACAGGCATTTAAAACCTCCCGTGGGAGCGATTAGTCTGTTGTGATTTGCTTAACAGGGGTTGTCTTCGAGGAAGTTGACATTAAAATAATTACAGTTAAGTAGATGTGGTAAATCTCGTTCCAGTAATCTCCCAAGATGTCCCCATTTCCATTCTATCGGATCAATTAACTGGATTAGTCTGACCAAAGTTTAATTGCCCCCACAGATTCGCGGTTTAAACAATGGATGTTCGCCCTCATCATGACGAGCGAATACTAGAGAAGCACATATATGACTGGTCCTTATATATAATTTATAGTAAAATGTCCCTAGTAAAATTGAAGAGACCCAACAAAATAAAAGAGAAGGCCAAAAGCCAGAAAACCTTCTCAAAAGTTTCAGTCGCATCAATAATTATCATATTGCTTAGACACTTTAAACAAGATTCAAGTGATTCAGATTTTGCACATTCTCGGTAGAGTTTTAAAGACACAGTTTTATATGATGGATAAACCATATGATTTGTTGGTTGATTTTGTTTAGTGGCATATCAACCTCTATCGCTTATTTAATTTCGAAAGTTAAATATTTTGTATATAAGTTTATGCTTTAAAACAGAGATATTTTTTATATATTTTTATACTTTCAGAGTAAAGGTATTTTTTAGGAATATAGTTTGTAGATCAAAAAATATATTTTTGGAATGTAGGTTCTAGCAAGAGACAACATTGCAGTGTTATATACTCAACTAGACAAGTCACTTCAATAGTGTTATTTTATTTCTCTAAGCAATTTCCCAGGACTACTTATCATGAGTGGACTGATACATTCATGATAGTAAAGAGGGTAACTGGCTCCTGCCATAAGATTTATATTTTTTTAGTGTTGCATTGCTTGTTATTTTGCTATAAAATTTATTGTTGGTCATTTTATTACAAAAATGCATTGCTGGATTTTTCTTTAGAGGTTCACAATTTGCCTGTAGCTGAGACCCTAACAGGTGCTACCACCTCAGGTCAGGATGTACATGAGAACAAAAACAGTTAAGAGGTGGTTCCATGCTCCTGAAAACCTCCACTATCCTGATCAGATGACTTGCCGCCGGATGTAATTTATCGTCATGCCCTGGACATATGAATTCTAGGTTACAATATCGGTTTTTATAAGGAATATAAACAATCACTTATATAATCAGTGTTATTAATTATATAGTAAATAAATATGTTTAACTGAATAGCTGTTGATATATATTCATATTAACACTGATATATACATATATATATATATATATATATATATATATATATATATATATATATATGAAAAATATAGTTTTAAGGTGTGCTATATTTATGGGATAAAGCGGTCAATATCAGAGATAGAGCGTATGTAATATAAATATAAAAAAAGTGAAAATTGAAGTCAACACTCAGAGGCGATAGGCTGTTTCATGCTGGACGATTGCGTTCAGCATGAAACATCCTGTTGCCTCTGAGTGTTGACTTCAATTATATATATATATATATATATATATATATATATATATATATATATATATATATATATATATATATATATATATATATATATATATCAGTGCATTAATAAGAATATATATCCACAGCTATTTAGTTAAAACATATTTATTTACTATATGATTAACAACACTCTGATTATATATATATATATATATATATATATATAAAAACGCCATGACTAGTAAGAAAATATAATATTAAAAGAGAAACAAACTATTGAGAAGTTAAAAAATGACGAAAACGTAATTATAAAGCATTTGAAGCGATCAAAGAATTATGAGAATAAAAATGACATGAGAAATATTTGAAAGATAATAATAGCTCCACCCCACAACAAAAGAATAATAGATTGAGAAACAAGAAAAATTTATTAGTCTGCCGATGTTGCAATTGTGAACAAAAAGGAAGGAAACGGAATAGTAATAACATTCTTCAAATGTCATTAAAGGTTTTAGTTTAGGAACTACAACTTTTAAACCATCACAGAATGAAATCTGTAAGGTTGAAAAAAATATATGAAAACTGATTTCTATCCAGCCATCGTTTTATTATTATTATTATTATTATTAATGTAGAGCTAGATTAGTTGAACCTGGTGACAGATTGGATCCTTCATGTAAGCAGTCAACCAACTCAACATAGAAAACAGCAACAAGGAGCAATGTTTTATGCTGGTATTGTGGGTAGATGTCGAACAATTTCACACCGATATCTAAAGCTCTATGGTAGAGTAAATGATGTTTAAGAAATGGGAAGATTGCTTAAGAAATAAAGGTGTGCGGAAATGTTGTGTAATATAAGAATACTATTGACTAAACAGTTGTGTAAAAGAGTAAATTTTAAGGATGATGGAATAATAAAAAGTTTATACTTACAATCAGAATGAGACAGGTGAAAGTTGTAGGACTCATTAGGAGGAAAGAAGGTTTAGATAATTTGATCTTCACAGAACATGCTGAAAGCAAGTAGGACAGGGGAAAATATCAAATAACATAAGTTTGTGTAAATGGCTAGCAGAACGAGATGTGGGAATGGCAATGAAGTGACAAAAAAGAAGAGTAGTTTCAGAAGGGAGAGGCATTTAGAAGACGAATATTGTGGGCATTAAGTATTTTAATAATGGTCTCAGGACAAAGAAAAAACATATAAGTTCTTGCACAAAATGTTTTTTTTGAAAACTATAGGAGAAAACTAAGAAGGTTTAAGCTATGATAATATAAGGATGTCTATTCATGCAAGACACAATTTCTTCGTATTATTCAAAGATGACTATTGGCAAATAGTTTACAGGGCGCTACAGTAATAAAATTTCCTTTAGACTCTCCAGATATTCCTCTAGAAGTCTATCATTAGAAGCGAATTATAAAAGAATAGAAAACAATAACCTATAAGTAGAAAACAACATACAAGGATTCCTGGGAATCAATAAATACTTTTTGTAAGTAACATTAAATTTTAAACAATAGCAGAAAATTAAGTAAAGTTAATAGCTGAAAATATGATTTTTCTTATAAAATGTAGAATAGCCCATATCAAAATATGTAAAATAATAGTTTTATTATATATGGAAATTTTCATTAGAAATGAAAACAATAAGGCTGATTTGATATATGATATCAGTTCTCCTATATGAAAGTGAGACTGAACAATTTCTTCACGGATGAAAAAGAGGCTTAAGGCAAAAAAGATGTGGTTCTGCAGAAAGATTCCGAGAATACGATGGACAGAACATGGAAGCAACGAGTAAGTCTTACGGAAGACGGAAAGAAAGAAAGAGCTACTTGAAATTTCTCGAACACTAAGTGAGGAAAGAGAACTTGGAAAATTTGTCACTCACAAGGCATAGACAGTCACCTGACTAACGAATTCATAACGGCACACATTACATACAAGAATTATAATAAGAAAATATGGAAAGCTGTTTTAATCAAATATACGATTTTGTTGTTTATATATTTTGTATTCAATAAAAAATAGATATTGTTGGTCTAAAGGTTTTGAATAATAAAATCTGACACTCCTAATACAATATGTTTTAAATTTAATGCAATTCAATATAGTATTTTAAATTTAATACAAGTTAATAAAATATGTTAAATTTAACTTTGCCAAATATATTGCTCATATAAATGTATTCTGAAAATTTTACCAAAATAGGTTGGTTAATATAAAATTGAAATTTTTAAATCATTCAGTTGCATAATAACATCTTTATAGAATATACATTGTAAATCGTACATTTTAAACATCGTCTGCAATATATTCATACTCACTGTTATGTAGTTTTCTTTTTGAAAAACAAATTGACTTATAAACTAAAAATTACGATAGCTTCCAACTTAAACACGGAAATAGCCAAACGAACAAATTTATTTGGTTAATTAAAGGCGAAATCGGCTTACACGAATTCAATCTGATAACGTCTTACAAACACTGGTTCAATAATTTAGATGAAATAATTAAAGTTAGTATTCCTTTACTGGTAAAATGATATTTATTTATTTAAGGTATTTTGACGGTGTTTATTGGGTAATAATTAACAGAGAGACTTGTATAGCATGCGCAAACCTTGAAAGAAATGACAAAAACAGGAAGAGATGTAGGCAACAAAGGAAAAGAAAAAAAAAGGAGTCAAGAATGAACAAAAATGGGGAAGAGAGATATAAAGTATCTGAAAATAAAAGAGAAATAATTCTGAAAGATGCGAATAAAGAAGGAAAGAAAAAAGGAAGAAAATGCGCATTAAAACAAAGTATGAATCCAAAACGAGATTTGCGCTTAAAAGAAAGAAAGAAAAATAAAGATAGAGATTAACTTGAAAGAAAGAAAGAAAGAATCAGACACAAAAACGGAATCAAGTGAAAGAGTGAATCCAGAACAAGAGACACACAGAAAAGAAAGAAGAAAAAATGAAAGAGAGAATCCAGAACAAGCGATACAGAAAAGAGAAGATAGAAGATAGAAAAAAAGAAAGAAAAAGCGAAAGAGAGAATCCACAACGAGAAATACGCAGAAAAGAAATACTAAAAAGAAAGTAAGGCAAAAAATGACAAAAGCGAATACAAAACAAGAAAAAAGAAAGGTAGAAAAAAAGAACGTAAGAAAGATAGAAAAAAAGAAATAAAAATATATAGAAAAAAGACAGAAAAAGAAAGAAAGAAAAGGGAAAGAGAGAATCGAGAATGAGGAATACACAGAAAAAGAAAGAAAGGCAAAAAATGACAAAAGAGAATAGAAAACAAGTGATGCACCCATAAGAACGAAAGAAAGGAAGAAAGAAAGACAGAAAAAAGAAATAAAGAAAGACAGAAAAAAGATAGAAAAAGAAAGAAAGAAAAAGTATAAAAAAAAGAATCTAAAATGACAAATACACTGAAAAGAAAGAAATACTAAAAAGAAAGAAAGGCAAAAAAAGACAAAATGAATACAGAATAAGTGATACACAAAGAAGAAAGAAAAAAAAAGGTAGAAAGAAAGGTAGAAAGAAAGAAAGGGAGAGTGAACGTGAGATTCCAGAAATGAAATAAAGAATGAAAGAAAAAGAAACAAATGAAAAATTAATGTTCAGTCTAAATGTGTGCACTCCATTAAAGATTAAAAAAAATACTTTTCACACATTCTTACAATTTTGTCTGCTGACAGTGGACTTTTTGTTGCCCTGTGATACGTACTTAACAGACGTTGTTACTTAAACATTATCGATGTCTTAAAATGAATTACTTGGAGTTAAAAAGAAATACATTTTAATTTTGATGTAACCTTCTATAAAAATATTTCTTGCAAATATCATGTTTCTTGATCTTTTTCATTTAACATGTTGCAGATCTCAGCAAATGTGGTTATTTTAGAAAGTGATTGAAATAATGTTTATATATATATATATATATATATATATATATATATCAGGTCTCATTATTTGTACGAATATTTAACCTTCTAAAAAAGCCACGCTCTCGCTATAAGACTCGAATACGCTGGCAGCTATATCAAGTAGAATGTGATCTCATTTAGAATCTAAATATTATTGAGAAAACCTGAGTTGGCCTTCTCAAATGATTCACTAAAATGTTTTCTTTGAATCCTGCAACCGTAAACATATCTAAAGCAACGTAGCTTTTATTTTCAAAGGTACTTCACACACAAACACACGCGCATGTATATATATATATATATATTATTTTATTTTAATGAGCGTTCCATTGTCGACCGCGACAAGGGATTCCGACACAGCCTTGAGAAACTATCGGGCTTTAAACTCACACTTGACCTCATATGGAACTCGTAAATACGATCCATCGCAAAAGATGGTTGAAAATGGTTCGCTCCCTGCACCACTTATGTAAGTACCACCTGACTCCACATGACATTTTTTACCTTTACAAAAGTCAAATCAAGCCTAAAATTGAGCACTCTCGTCATATTTGGGCGGGAGCTGCCCAGTTCCCAAATGTTAGTCTCGATAGAGTCCAAAAGCATCTCCGAGTACTTGTCGGTGATAAATTATTTTCCCCCTCCCACCTTTTTCTCACAGGCGGAATGTGGCAAGTCTCTCACTACTTCCTCGGAAAGTGCTCAGACGGACTACATACTTGTAGACCCGCTGTGCCTCTCACATTGCAGGGAAACACCCACATTCCCTCTGTATTCCATTGGCAAGAAGTCAGTTCCACTAGAAAAACGTCTTCTCGCTAACTATGGCAACGAATCATAATACAATCATAACATGTTCAAGTCTAGGGTTAACACTTATCTTCCTCTCCTATCCGTATAAACTGCCTCTTAATCCCGGGCCTTGTAAGGGGTGAAAATTACTATATATATATATATATATATATATATATATATTCAGAGAGAGAGAGAGAGAGAGAGGAATATCCGTGTCAATACGGCTCTTCACATTAAAATATTTTTATTATTGAGTATTAGTCTTCTTTTAAAAGAAATTAATTACAAAGATTATTTGCGAAACAACTTCGCCCAAACATATTTTTTGACATATTTTTTGTCCTTTTTTACAAGACAACTGAATCAAATGCGTTAGAATGATAGAAAATAGAATGAGTCTACATATGGGAATGAGTGTGTTACGTATTTACATATTTTTATGTATGCGTGTAAATCGTAAATTTGGTGACATAGTAATTTTGAGTTCAATGCTTCACCTGGACTGTTAAGTACTCTCAGTAGAAAAAGAGCGAATAATAACTGAGAAGTACTATATATATATATATATATATATATATATATATATATATAGGTAACTATACTCGTCTCGAAAAGCCTTCGAATTTTTGATTTGCCAATAATCAAATCAATCTCGAAGGAAAAAAGGTTTTAAAAAAAGAAAGAGCCAGGAACATGAAAGTCTGTCCAAAAAATCGCACAGATACAGGTTCAAAGCCCAAAGAAAAAACCCCGACACGAGTAAACAACTAACTAACTAACTAAAAGAGCTCAATACAACCAGCTTTCCCTGACGATCCGCTTAGGTGAAACCTGGGTATGTTTGTCTGGCTCACTAGGTTTGACTATATATATATATATATATATATATATATATATATATATATATATATAGAGAGAGAGAGAGAGAGAGAGGAATATCCGTATCAATACGGCTCTTCACATTTAAATATTTTTAATACTGAGTATTAGTCTTCTTTTAAAAGAAATTAATTACAAAGATTATTTACAAGACAACTGAATCAAATGCGTTAGAATGATAGAAAATAGAATGAGTCTACATATGAGAATGAGTGTGTTACGTATTTACATATTTTTACGTATGCGTGTAATTCGTAACAGTTGGCAGCCGCCAAGGAATCAGCGTTAATAGTACTTCTTACGTTTTAAAAAGAATTCAGTCCATATGTTTTTTGTGCTTCTTAAGTTAAAACAGCAAAGCAGTTTTTGTAATATAGTATAGCTGAATAAATATGCAAGAATGTGAATAATTAATTAAGGTTTGGGAATTTCATCTTGTATTAAGACCAAACAACCCTGCTCAAAGGTTAACTGAAAAAAATGATTTCTTTGAAGTAATACGATCGCTTTTTATAACTAAGAAATATTACTCTCTCTCTCTCTCTCTCTATATATATATATATATATATATATATATATATATATATATATATACTATATATATATATATTTAGACATTATGTCTATTTTAGTTTTAATCTTTTTGAGTCCACAAATTAATTTATTGTTGCCTGTAGAAAATTGATGAAGAAAAATTCCAAAATTTTTCAAATGATTTTTATTTTCGTAAGTACTTTCAATCTCATGTCAGATCATCTTTAAGGGTTGCATATCTATGGATGAATTATGCGTTAAATATTTTAAACTCTATACAAAAGAGGTAACTTACCTGATTTTTTTAAAGATCTTTTGAAAAATACAAATTATTTGAAAGTAAATTTTGGAATTTTTCTTAATCAATTTTCATCTTTTAATTCTCAAAATTACATACATTATATATATATATATATATATATATATATGGATATATAATATATATATACATTGATTAAATATTTTAAATATTATTCTCTATACAAAAGAGGTATATATATATATATATATGTTGTTTGCTTTTTAAAATCTTTTGAAAATAAATATTTAAATACCTAAAGTGGTTTTTTCATTAAATATATATATATATATATATTGTTATATATATATATATATATATATATATATATATATATATAATGTGTGTTTGTTTATAGAATAATATAAATGCTAAATATGCAAGGAAGTGAAAAAGATCTTAGAGAATAAACAATGCCTTTAGCTATAAGAAATAACTTGCACAATAGCGAAATTCATTGGGCCAATGCAAAATGTTAGTATGCTTGGTTTTTATTGAAGCCACGATCAAACGTATTCAATACTGCTTGTGCCACATGTTTTTTTATAATATATTATTTCTTATCACTACAAATATTATTTTTAGTGAGTACACGTATTTGAGTTATTATCCATGTTTTTTTTTTTTGTTTTTTCTAATTATTAAATTTAGATTGTGAACTCCTACTAAAGAAAAAATAGTAAGAGTTCTCAATCTAGGCCGGTTGTTCCAAAGTTCACTTTTTTTATATCAGTAACTTAAGTGTCATAAGTGATACACGCTTGGGCGATCATGTATCTTTTCGATACATGATTAACAAGGCAGAATTTTTCCCCGCAGTAGATTGCCATTTATTTCTGCGGTAGACTGGTTAACACATTCTGTCCCGCTCTTCAACCCAGAGGAGAGAAGAGAGGGATTCATACTTTTCCCAAGGGTATCTGTGCGTAAGCGAATCTAAAGAACTCGATTGGAATTCGAACACAGCTCTCCGAGTTCTCACACCCAGCCGACATTCATTACCCAACAACGCATTTTTTGTATATGTCTTTGCTGTTTTTTATTTACCAGAAAATAAAGATATATGCAATCAGTATCGAGGAACTTTTACCAACGTAATTCCAGCTTCGCCATAACCGGGAGGTAAAAATCAAGTGTCTTGGATGCAAAGAAGTTGTTCACTGTTCGCCGCTATTGAAGAATTTTCGATGAAGGTGGTTGTCCAAGGAATGAAAGAAGTGGTAATCTGTTAGCTCAAAGTCTGGGGAATAAGGTGTATTGCAGAGTGTCTTCCAGCCAAGACGCTGTATGATATTCCTGCCTACTCGCGCTACATAAGGCATGGCTGTTTTATTGAAGAACAATACACCCTTGTGATTAACCAATACTGACACCTTCTGCTTCAGTGCCTGTTGCCCACGTTCCAACTGCTACCAGGACATGCCCGCAGTAACAAGTAGTAGCAGCATATAGTGTAACACTTGTCGACTAGATTACACCAGATTACAGATCATGATCTTGCGTTGGTGTAGAGATAGACTTGTGGTGTGAGGCAAAAGATCCCATAGTAACAACCAAAGTCTGACAAGCTTGGGATTGTCATACAGGACCTAAATTTTGTAGCTGGTGACCATTCGATAAAACGTTGCGGGGTCGAAGTAACAGGATGTCATTCGTTATTGCTTGTTCGGACAGTTTACCCACTTGCTCAATTTGTACGCCTTCTCTATTCAGTGCAGGTCAAGTCTGTCAGTTTCATCAGAAATGTGGAACCATTGATAAAGCTGGCTACATGTTCGGCCGTTGCCGTCCTCTATGGATACCTTCCGGTCCTCATCACCTGAGACCTGTGGTCAGCCACTGCAGGGTTTATCTCATAGGTAAAAATCTCTCGTCATGTACAGCCGGAAACAATGCCCGGCGCTGCGTTCACTCACAGTATTCTCTTGAAGGCTTGACGTCTTTGGTGACTTGATGTGGTTGCAGAAAATCTCAGCTTA